CAGGTGCACTCCACTATACCTGGACAATACATCTTTACTATACATACATACTTATATATAAAATATATGTATGTCTAAATATATAACATATGTGTGTATGTATTATAATATATAACTATATATTTAATATAGTTGAAGGTCAATATACAGTTACATTATTATATATAATTGTATATTAGTGTACTATATTGTATAATGTATGTATTACAATTAGGTATATATATTATATATCTGTATATAACTATATATGGTTATACATTTCATATAATATATTAATATGTATTTAGTATATATTAGCAGAATACTGGAAACAAGCCAGCTGTGCCTTTTTCAATGAAAAGTTAAATGGGCAGGCACAGTGGCTCAGCGTTAAATGGCAGAGGCAGGCAGCTCTCTGAGTTCGAGGCCAGCCTGGTCTACAGAGAGAGTTTCAGGACAGCCAGGGCTACACAGAGAAACCCTGTTTATAAAACAAAAAGAAAAAGATGGAGTGATGTTACATTTCCTATTCGTTGGCAATATATGAACCATTGCAAAGGTTGTCTCTAATCTACATTCACCTACATGGGATGGTGTCTAAGACATTTGCCAAATGGAAAAACAAAACAAAAACCAGGCAAAACTCAGAACAGCCTGCATTGAGCAAAGCCACTAATTAGCAAAAATAAATATGGGTTTGGTGCAGCTCAGCGAGAGAATGGTCACCTAGCATGCGCAAGGTCCTGGATCCAATGCCCAATGTCACAAAAGAAAAAAAAAAGCATAAATACAAGCCTATGTATTTAAAACAGTAAATGCTACCCTCGCTAGGTTTGGATTGACTATGATGACAGCCTTGTCTAAAATAACCCTCACCAGAAAGGCAGGGGCAGCGTTTGCTGCTGACGGCCCTGCTGCCATTTGTGACAGCCTTACTTGCAAGCAGTCTGGCTTCAGGTACTGGCAGAGTGACTCCAGTGTGACAAATGTCAACCTTCTGAGGGGGGTGCCCCTTTTGATTAAGTTAGCACCCCAGCCAAGACGATTAGCCTGGCTGGGCCACTGGCCCCCAGGGATCGAGTCAGTCAAGGAAGACTCCCGAAGAAGCATAGAGAAGGCATAGAGTACAGTGAGCATTTGTTAGTCCACATGTCAAAGCCTCTGAAACATTTTGCCATGCTGGGTGGCCCCTCCCTTGTGGACCGTAGGCTCCTCCCTCCCGAGATGCTGAAAACCCATGACTTGCCTTCCCAACCTCCTTGTTTCCTCAGGTGTAGCATGTGACCCAGGACGGGTCAGCCAGATACTACCGTGGCAGGCTGTTAACTTTGAAGCCAGTGACACAAAAGCATACTCCGTCCCAGTGCATACTAGTGAGTTGTGGGGAACAGCCACGGCATGATTGGACATCCTTGTTTGAGGTCTCTAAAACTTGGACCCACTGTGAACTAGGAAAAAAAATCTTCTACTAAATTCTCCTTCTGCTTCAGCGACCCCAGGGTTGGTTTCTGGTGCCTGAAAGCAAGATTCTTGGCCAATGTCTACACATACGTGCACATTCATGGTTTTAATCAGAAATTTCCCCCACAGCCTTGTGTGTGTGTTGAATATTGGTTTCTCAGTGCATGGCAATATTTAAGGATGCTGTGGACTTTTAGATGAACCCTAGCTGGAGGAAGTAGGTCACTAGGAGTCCATTCTTTTATTTGCTTGTTTATTTTATGCTGGCCACAAACTTTCTATGTAGCTAAAGATGACCTTGAACTCCTAACCTTCCTCCTTCCTCTGCTACTCCAGGGCTGAGATTATAGGCAGACCCACCACATCCAGCTATAGGCTGGCATTATTTTTCTGTTCGTGTGTGTGTGCGTGCACGCATATGTGTGTGTGTGTGTGTGCGCGCGCATGTGCGCGCGCGTGTCGTATGTACTATGTGCTGGGATTATAGGCATATACTATATGTGGGTGTGTGGCAGCCAGAGATCAATGTTGAATGTCTTCCTCCATGGCAATCTACTTCGTTTATTTTAAATTATATTTACTATTATTATTTTGTTGTTGTTTCAGAGACAGGGTCTCACTATGTAGTTTTGGCTGGTCTGGAGTTCAATATACAGACCATGGTAACCTCAAACTCATAGAGATCTGCCTGTCTCTGCCTCCCTAGTACTGGGATTAAAGGCAAGCTCCACCATGCCTGACATATTTATTTGGGGGGCGGGGCATGCCAGAGGACACTTTTAGTAGCTGGTTCTCTCTTTCTACGTGGGTCCCAGAGCCTGAACTCAGGTCCTCCGTCAGGCTTGGGGCAGGTGTAGTTAGTTACTCAGCCATCTCAGCAGCCCTTGCTCTTCCTTTCTCAGACAGGCTCTCTCACTGAAGCGGGAGCTCATCGGCTAACTAGACTGGCTGGCCGGCCAGCCTCTCTGCTCGCTCATGTTTCTATCATCTAGTACTGGGATTACGTGTGTGTGCTGCCACACCCAACTCCTTACGTGGGTGCTGGAAATCCAAATTCAGGTCCTTGCAGTCGGAGCAGCTAGGTCTTGGCCCAGGGAGCTCCCCCGAGCCAAGCTTTTGAAGGTGACTGGCTAGCCCCTGACTCTGCCCACTCTGTTTCCTGGCCCACCATGATTGGACAGCTCTGGCTTTGACACAGGGAGCCACTCAAGGGTACCCTCCAAGCTGTGAGGGGCTGTGACGCTCTGAAGTTATGACCCCATACCTCTTTCCTTCCTGTGAGGCATCTCTCTCAGGTGTGTTGGTCACAGTGATGTAAAACAATACAGCATGAAATCTTTTCGGAATGAGATGAATGTGCAAACCGGTGACTTGTGGGGAATAGCCCTGGAAAATCAAGGAAAGCAGGAAAGGGCATTTTCCTTTCTGCCTTTCACTTGTATGTACTGTTGGAGTTGATTATCCTCTACTCGTTACCATTCCTTTTTCTTTTTAAAATTCTGTGTGTTTGTCTGGCATTTGTGTATGTACATGTGTCCATGGAGACCAGAGGTCATCTCTCTCTTCTCTCCTCTCTCTCTCTGTCTCTCTGTCTCTCTGTCTCTCTCTCTCTCTGTCTCTCTCTCTCTCTCTCTCACACACACACACACACACACACACACACACACACACACACACGCCACAACTCCCAGCTTTAACGTGGGTGCTGGGGATCTGAACTCAGGTCCTTGTACTTACAAGGCAGGCACTTTACCAACAGAGCGGTTTCTTGACCCTATTTGTTTGCTTTTGGTGACAAGATCTCACTAAGTAACTCAGGCTGACCTTGAACTCACGATCTTCCTTCCCCTGTCTCACACGGTCTGGGATGCCAGGCATATACCACTGAGCTTAGTCTTATCTTTTACTTTTATATTGCTTTCGTAATGAGATAATTGTTAGTGAAAACATAGGAAAGGCAAGAAAGAAAATAAGACAGGGGTGCAATTATTCAGATCTTCAGGGAAATAATTACTTCCTTAGACGTTCCGAAGGGGGTTGTCTCCCACCCCCATCCCACTGCGGTAGCTGGGGTTGAATATGGATGAGTTAGGACGTTTGTTTGTACGTGAGTGGTTAGCTCTGCCCAAACACTTCCCGAGGCTTCCTGCTCACAGAACAAACTGCACAGTCTGCAACAGGGCACTGAAAACCTTCAAGATATTTTCTCATCCTCATGCTTTACCTAAAGCACCTTTTCTTCCAGCCTGGACACCCTGCCCCTGTCTGTGACCTGCACCTGCGACTCATGCTTACCCAGACCTCACGGCTGTGCTGTTACCGTCATACATCGGTGGGACTTGGGGTGTAACGGTCTTGTCTGACTGTATGCCTGGCTTCTTGCTGGCCTTTGGCACCTCTGCCAACCATCTATGGAGACCAGTTGTCCCTTCATATGGAAGTGTCCATGATGTATTGACAAGCAGAGTATGAACTGCTTGTGGGCAGGCTGCTCCTTAGAGCCTGCCTCTGACCCTCTGCTTGACTGGCTGTCTCCCCAAATGTCACCGCGGCTTACTTCCTTCCTTCCTCCGGGTTTTTGCACGGGCTGCATTCGCAGTGATTCCCTTGCCGGCTCAACTGTAAAACAATACTGCACTCTCCGCCCTGGTTTGCTTGGATTCCTGTTCAGTTCACGGTGCCAACAGCACTCACTACCATCCAGCACCTAAGTTATTTCCACACCCTATCTGTGCAGCCGGAATGGGCGTGTCAGCTCCTGGAAGGCAGAGATGCTATCTTGCTTCTCAGATGTTTTCAGTATGTGGAGCTGTGCCTGGCACGAGCAGGCGCCCAATAAATACTTGTTGAGCATGGAAAGGAAGCTGAACTCGATGCCAGGAGGCCCGAGTCCTACCCACAGCAGCATCTGCCGATCTGTGCAGACTATACAACATACGGTCTCCTTGGGCCACTCTTCCGGAGACTGGAATTATCACCCGGACCCCCAGGGTGGCTGCCAGGACTGCCCTGCAGATCACTCAGTGAGTCCTAACTTTGGTGTCCATACCAGAGGGCTTGTTAAATAACAGTTGCTGACCCCACACTGGGTTTCTGACTCAGTGGGTCTGGGGTGTGGCTCGAAAAATCTCCATCTGTAACATGTAAAAGTTACTGCTGCCATGTGAGCCGCACGTCAAAGACAAGGGACAGCCTGGCACAGAGAGAACCCAGCACTGCAGGGCTTCTGGGGCAAAAGACAGGGTAGGAGAGGACCCATAGTCCCGATTCAGTCCCTGACTGTTTAGGAAGTTCTAGGGAGGTGCAGGGTGATCTGGGGTCGGTGGAGCCGCGGGTTGTGATCCAGGGGTGATTCCGAGGTTCTCTAGGCCCAGAGGTCGGCTTGGCACAGGGCAGGAAGGCTGAGAAGTGACGGAACAGTCACAGGCCCACACTCCAAGCCCAGAGGCGGGCCCTGCGCGCGCGTACCCAGCAGGCGCGGCCCCGGCGGCGCGCGCGCACCCCCAGGGGGCGGGCCTGCGGACGGCGGCGGGCGCGCGCGGACGCGGGTGGGAGCGGGCGGCGGCGCCGAGCGCTGAGCGGGCGGGCGGCCGGCGATGGGCGAGGGAGCCCTGGCCCCGGGCCTGCAGCTGCTGCTCCGCGCCTGCGAGCAGGGCGACACCGACACCGCGCGGCGCCTGCTGGAGCCCGGCGCAGAGCTGGCCGTGGGACCCGAGGCGGGAGGGGAGCAGGCAGGGCCCGAGGCGGCCCGGGCGGCGGAGGCCGGAGCGCCGGTACCGGTGGACTGCTCGGATGAGGCGGGCAACTCGGCGCTGCAGCTGGCGGCGGCCGGTGGCCATGAGCCACTCGTGCGGTTCCTGCTGCGCCGCGGAGCCTCGGTCAACAGCCGCAACCACTATGGCTGGAGCGCGCTCATGCAGGCGGCCAGGTGAGCGGGGCACCGGGAGGGAGAGAGTCCGGGACTCGTGAAAGTGCGAAAGGCAGATTTGGAGCATTGCCTTTTGGTCATCTGTGTGCTGGGAATAGAAGGGCTGTGTCAGAAACACAAGATTAGGCTGTTAGAAACTTTGCATTTTGAACAGTCTGGAGGCTGCCGAGTGCGTCTTCCATGCGTCCATTCATTCCGCTTTTGCGTCAAGGGTCTCCTAAGAACCTGCCTGCTCACCCTGGCTTTGGGGGATAGATAATTGGGATCCAGTTACGTCCACACTTGAGAGGAGTGGGACAGTAGACAAAGTAGCAATCTTGACCCGGAAGGTTTGACTGTAGTAGCTGGGAAAACGCGGGCATTTTGTAGAAGTTTTTAGTAGACCCGAGGATGTGTAAGAATTAACCTTGCGGGGGGGGGAGAGGGTAAGGGCGGAGGTGGGGAACACAGTGCAAACACATAGCAGTGTCAAGTGGTCAGACACCTGGAGGATGCTGGGACCCAGAAGAGGCTGGAAGTCATGGGAGACAAGCCCCCCATTGGAGAGAAGAAAGCGGGGACCAGATATTGGGGCTGAGACCGGGCAGAGTGACTGGATCAGAGTTTTGTTTTGGATAGACTCATTCACCACAAGTGAGAAAGGGCGGAGAGATAGGGAGAGTCAGGAAGGCTGTTTAGAAAGGCAGCAGCCCGGGGAAGCGATATACTGGCCTGGGCCAGACTGAAGTTGATGCTTGGGACTGTCTGACCCTGTGACGGCATCAGGAGAGAGGGAGCCAGCAAAATCCGTGTCTATATTTCCGGCTGTGGTTTACACGTGTACTGAGATGGGGAGTGCAGGAGAAGAAGACACTCTGTTTTCAAAGATGTATTTGTTTTTATTTTATGTGTATGAGTGCCTGTGTGTGTGCATGTGTATGAGTGTGTGTGCGTGTGTGTACATGTGCGTGTGTACCTGTGTGTGTGTGCACGTGTGCCTGTGTGTGTATGAGTGTCTGTGTGCCTGTATGTGGCCTGTGTGTGTGTGCCTGTGTGTGTGTGTGTGTCTGTGTACCTGTGTGTGTGCCTGTGTGTGTGTGTGTATATGAGTGTTTGTGTGTGTGTGCAAGAGCATGCGCACCACATGTGTGCTTGGTGCCTGAGGGAAGCCAGACAAGGGCAGTGGATCCCTTTGAACTTGAGGTACAGTTACAGTGTGCCACGCAGGTCCTGGGAACCAACCCTGGGGTCTCTTTGAGAGCAGCAGATACTCTTCACCATGGAACCATCTCTCTAGCCCCAGGGGGACACTTGAGAGTGAACTTGACATTTAGGCACAAAGCTGGTGGCACCAGAGGGGAATGCCAGGGCCACGGAGGTGACCTTAAAGTCCTTCTTCTAGCTCCCTCCCCCCCCCTTTGTGACAGTTCCCATTCTTTCTCCAGGTGAGCCTTCTTCTGTCTAGTCCCCGCCCACCCGAGTCGGCTTGAGATGGCCATGGAATCCACACCCTCCTCTCCGTCCCCTTGTCCACAGACTCCTCTGTAGAAGTGTCCCATCATATTCCTCTCCTCAGAGCATGCCCTTGCCTGTGCCTCCTTGAAGAGCTTCCAGATCTTTCTGGAATAGCTGCTGGGTTGTGCCCATCTGCAGTGGCTCCCCTAGTCTCAGAATGACACTCTTGGCCAGACTGGTCTACACATACATTTTGGTCTCTTGATCTCGGGTCAGTATTTCATCCAGTCCTTCTCCGTATTGCTTTTAAAAAGTTAACAGTGAATATTTACTCTGTACCAAGAGCATCTTCCCCACCTTACAGGAGAGAAAGAGGGAGGGAAAGAGGGGGGAGGGAGGGAGGGAGAGTGCCTGAGATTTCGAAGGCAAAATGGGCCTCCAGCATCCAGGATATGTGTGGGCAGTGAGTTTTTTTCCTCTTCTGCCCTCAGCAAAGCCCCTCCACTCTCAGAATTAGCTTCTTCCAGGAAGCCTTCCAGCTGTGGCCATACCTTTTGGCCTCACCACACCAGGAAAGCTCCCTCCCCTGAGTGTGCCCGACCCTGGTTCACTGGGATGTCTTTCCAGATGGGGACCCTAGGGTTACCTTTCCAAAGGTTGTGACTGAGAGGCCTGAAGTCTGAGGAGACGGGTGGAGGGCGGGGAGGGATTGAGAGCCCTGAGCATACACCCTGTTTCTGAGCCCTGCCCAGCACAGAGGCCTTGCAGTTCCCGGGGACTTGTTGAGAACTTTGCTTGCAACGGGATGGTGACACCAACCCCTGGCCATCTGTTCTGAAGGACAGTCATCTACATCATCTGATTAATCTCAGGTCCTTAATGTGAGCAGGAAAAGGTTCTATTACCCCAGAGGGGGCAAGTGGAGGCGCGGCAGGGAGGGGTGGGAGGTTCTGCCTCTGGATCAGTCAGAGGTGTTTCTGCAGGAGTGGTGTTTAAGGAGAAAAGGGGAAAGTCTGAGCCCGGGCGAGTTGGTAAGTTCTGGTTGGATCTGTTAGTCGGTGAAGCCAAAGAACGGTTTTTGATAGCTGGGCCTTGCTCCTTTTCTCAGGCATAAGAAAGTGGCCAAATGAAGGAATGGGCCTTGGTGGCTAGTTTTGGAGAGGTCATCTAACGGTTTAGCAAGGCAGAGGGAAGGGAGGCATGTAAGACCTGTTGGTGCCATGCTTGCCATGGTTGCCACGCCTGGGCCTGTTAGAGCCAGCCCTTCAGTTGGTATGGTGAAAGGAGCTGGGGTTGGTGGCCCACGCGCTCCAACTTTGACCTTCCTGCTTGAGAGGCTTTGGGCTGCCTTTTCCAGTTTGCCTCGGGTGCTGCATTTACTTACTATTTTATGTGTGTCTGTGTGCCATGTGCAGGTCTGGTCCTTTCAGAGGCCAGAGGAGGGCGTCAGGGTCCTCAGACCTGGAGTGACAGACGGTTGTCAGCAGGTGTGTGGACGCCCAGAGCCGAACCTGAGTTCTCGGGAAGAGGGGCCAGCGCTTAAGCACTGAGCTACGTCTCTGGCCCCGACGGGTGCTTTTGTGAGAGTGTTGCTATGATACACCCTACTGTTCTCAAGACCAAGGTGTGGGAAACCTGGAAGAAGAGGATTAGAATTCACAGCTGCCTGTTCACAGGGACCTGGTGACTCCACTGCACTGGAGCCCAGATATCCTGAGCTGTCTGCTGCCTCGTCCAAGCTCGGGAGGCTCAGGGTCAGGGCCTGATGTCGGGAGACTTCCTGGAGGGTCTGTGAGTTGATCCCTCAGGTCAGGGTGGGCCGTGCTTTGACACTCTGCGTTCTTGTGCTCCTCTCAGAATCCTTGGACAGTGTTCCAGTCACTGTGTCTACCTAGGTGGACTTGTGTTTATCATCTTGCGTGTCCCAACATCCGTCAATGAGGCAAGTCGACTCACGTGGGTACTACAAGCAGTAGCTCCTGTTTGCAAAATAGTAGATTATCCTTTTCTTTCCCCTCTACTGGGGCTTGGGTTTAGGAGCTTGCCCCTGGCAGGCAAGCATGCTACCACTGAGTTACAGCCTCAGCCTCTTTTGAAGCGAAGTCTCACTGACTGGCCCAGGCTGTCCTTGAACTTACCTTGTAGTCCAAGCAAGCCTCACCCACTGCACTGGCTAGACCTGTGTCATCAGGCCCAGCGAACGGTGACCTTTCTTGAGTACCTGTTTTGTGTCTGGCACTGTGCTTACTGCTTTAAAGGGATTCGCTCCTTCGGTCCACCCAAAACCATAGGAAGTATTGTTGTCCCCTTTTATAGATAGGGAATTGAACTACAGAGAAGCTGAGTAACATGCCTCTGGCCACATAGCTAGTTGAGTGACAGTAAGAGTCACACTTAGACCGATGACCCGAGAGCCGTGAATCCAGCAAGTGACAACTCCGTTTGGGTGCTGGTGGCGATTCTGAGCAGGAGACGGCATGGTTTCTTTACCTTCCATCCGCTTCTGCCTTTACCCAACTCATGTGGGTGGCCGCCAGGTGCTCTGAGTGGCAAGCTCATGTACCAGCGCTGACAGCACAGGTGTTAATTGCTGAGATTAATTGGTAGTCTCAGCACCTGCTCAGAAGCCCCCAGCAGCCTCATCTCCAGTAATTACCTATTAGAAATTGAACATCCGCAGAATTATCTCGGGCTCCGTTGGATCATTTTGCATTTTCAGCCTAATTGGATACTCTCTAGGGCTACCTGAGAGTTCAGAAAACACCCCCAAATTCAGTATTTCTGCTTAATTTCAGCCCTTTGCTTCCTCGGTAGGAATTGGGCAGGCTGGAGGAGCTGTGATTTGAAATTCTTGGGGCTGGTTTGGGTCCTGTCACTTTCAAATTGAGATGAATTGGTCTCCGCTCTAATCTTAAGCCTCCTTCTCTCTGAAATGGGAGGCTGTGTTCGTCTCTCGGTTTTCAGATGAGATACGAATCTGAAAGTATCATGCAATCTTCAGTGAGGGATTACACTAGAGTTTATTTTGTGTTCCCAAAACCTGTGGGAGCTTTTAACTCTCCTGCAGTGGAGGCCTGTGCAGCAGCCCCTGGTCGCTTCCTGTCCCTCACACCTCCCTTCCCTTGATCTCCTTTCTATGCATTCTTTTGTTCCTTGGGCAGAATATTTTGAACTCTGTTAGGGGCCAAGGAAGTCGCCTAGCCCTGTCCTTAGCCACAGTCAGGGGGAGACATGGATTGTGAAGGAGGGCTCAGGTGTAGGCAGAGGGAAGGAAGCTTGGGTCCTTGGGGTCCTTGAGAGGGAGCCCAGGAAACTGCTCAGAGCTGGCGAGATGGGAGTGGGGCGTGGCAGGGCGTGCTGAGGGGGACAGAGGCTGAATGAGCACTTTGCTTGGCAGAGCCGAATGGGGTCAGATTCGTGCTGGAAGTGCTAGGTAGGTGGGCTGGGGCGGGGGGGGGGGGGGACGACGACGACGACGACGACGACGACAAAGGGCTGGGAAGTATAGCAACATAGGCAGGCCTCCTGACGCTGGGCATTAGGACTAACATAGGCAGGCCTCCTGACGCTGGGCATTAGGACTAACATAGGCAGGCCTCCTGACATAGGCAGGCCTCCTGACATAGGCAGGCCTCCTGACATAGGCAGGCCTCCTGACGCTGGGCATTTGGGAGGAACCTTTAGGTGTGGGCTGCTTGGAGGATGGTCAGGGGGAGCAGGACAAAGGAGGCCTCGAGTTTGCAAAGTTTGCAATTTCTGCATGTGGGTGTAATTCCCCAGACTCACCCCTCTGCCTCCGAGAAGAGGCCCCCCATCCTGCCCCAGGCTGGGGCACCAGGTCACCAAGTTCTCATTTGCATGCTGCAGGAGGCAGCCTGCCGTGTCAAGGTTCACAGCCCAGAAGGTATTTTGTATTTAGCTGGAGCCTCAGACCAGAGTTCAGAGAGGAGAGCTGAGCAACCATTCAGGACCTGTGCTGTCAGACAGCACAGCACTGTGGTCTCCTAACACCGGCTTCCCTGGCTTTGTCCTTCTTAGTTGCTCTCCAGGCACACCTTAGGCCATAAGCCCGCCCACTGAGAAGCTTCAGGGAGTTGGTGGGAGCCTCCTGGACTCCCTGGGTCCTGGAAGCAACAGGAGCTGGAGTCTCCTTGATCTGGCTTAACCAGGTTCACAGCCACCTGCAGTGAACATTCCCACCAGCAGGTGGCAGTAAGCCTCCACGGAGGCGCCAGAGTCGCTTTGCCCAGCACAGCTGTCACACCTGGCGTGTGCTGGGCTTGGTGGGGGCTGGGAAGGGCAGAGATGAATCACAGCAAGGGCTTTGCCCGTGAGGGAACCAGAGCCTGGCAGAGACGGTTTAGCAGCCGTGAAGCAGTGCCCAGAGAACTCAGATGTCGGAGGGGCAGAGTGGTGGAAACGGCAGAGGGGCTTAGACTTCAGGGTGTGTGTGTGCCGGAGTGTGTGTGCTATAGATCTGTCTCAGGTGTATTTCTCCATATAAAATCCACCTTGATTTTGTTTCTAGATTTATTTCTTTTATTTTATGTGTATGATGTTTTGCCTGCTTGTCTGTGTTCTAGCGGCGGGAGTGGATTTCTTTTCTTTCAGTTTTGGGCATGGGGGGGGTGTTACCATATAGGCAGGCTAGCTTCAGACTCATGGAGATCCTCCTGCCTCTGCCTCTTGAATTCTGGGATTAAAGGTGTGTGTCACCGATGCTGGCTAGGGCTGGGTGTTTTATCCCAGAGTGGCCCTTAGCCAGGCGGGTGACTACAGTAGGTTGTGAAATGGGAAAGGCATAGCAGTTATCATAGCTAATGCTGAGTGCCTGCTTCCTTTGGCTAAGCACAACTCCAGGAGCGCTGTCTCTGTCCGTCCGTCCGTCTGTCCGTCCATCCAGTAAACCACAAGCAGTTCTTCATGGTAGTATGACTATAGCCCCATTTTACAGATCAAGGAATGAAGGCACAAAGAAACAAATTATACCTCGGTATCCCATGGAGGAGAGACTTAGACTCCAGCCTAGCCAGGGTTTCCGTCATCGATGGGGACAGTTGCACAGGGCCAGCCTGGTACCTCACACCTGACGGAGTTCATTCTTTCTAAGCAGCCCTGTACCTGCAAAACCTGACAGTTGAGGGTTACTGGAGTTGTGTTTCAGGGCTTTCTGTTCAGTGTCACTAATTCCCATCTTTCTGGCAGGTGTGGGCATGCCAGCGTGGCACACCTCCTTTTGGATCACGGGGCTGATGTCAACGCTCAGAATCGGCTGGGTGCCAGTGTGCTCACCGTGGCCTCTCGGGGCGGCCACCTGGGCGTGGTGAAGCTGCTGCTGGAGGCGGGCGCCATTGTGGACCTTCACAGCCCCTCCGGCGAGTCAGCAGCAATGGGAGGCAGCAGGGATGAACTGCTGGGCATCACGGCCCTGATGGCTGCCGTTCAGCATGGGCATGAGGCTGTGGTGCGCCTGCTGATGGAATGGGGGGCCGACCCCAACCACACGGCCCGGACCGTGGGCTGGAGCCCACTGATGCTGGCGGCCCTCCTTGGGAAGCTCAGTGTGGTGCAGCAGCTGGTTGAAAAGGGAGCCAACCCCGACCACCTCGGCGTGCTGGAGAAGACAGCCTTCGAGGTTGCCCTTGACCGCAGGCACAGGGACCTGGCTGACTACCTGGACCCCCTGACCACCGTGAGGCCGAAAACAGGTGAGGCCCAAACACCCCAGCCCTGCTGTGGCCTCGCAGAGGATTGTTTAGGTGGCACAAGCCAGAGTTTGCCCAACCAAAGAAGTGTGCAGAAGTAGGAGTCCTGACAGGCAGGCAGGCTGGCCATAAGCTTCGAGCTATCCAGTGCCCACGGGCGCCTGTGACACGCAGGCCTTACGCATTTCTCGGTGTGACCAGGCGCTCTGGGAAGAGCCTGTGAACTTGTAGACTGAGGCCCTTCATCCCTAAGTGTTGACTCTGATTTGGTGGTCCTGGGATCCTTCCAGAACAGAGACCAGCCAAGTTTTCTCTGTAAAGGCCAGATCACAGGCACTTAGGCTTCCTGGGCTAGCTAGGTGCTGACGCACTAATTATTGGCCCTTGTTAGAGTGAAAGCAGCCACACTTAGAATGTAAGTGAGTGGGTGTGGCCTTGTGCTGAGCACAGAGACAGACTTTGGGCAGGTTGGTCCCGAGCCTAGGTTTGTACCCTCGATTCAGGAATGGCATTCTGGCCATCAAATCCCCAAGGACTAACCACTCAAAATTGCTATGGAGTAGCTCCCTTTGGGGTCTGGGTTTCTCTGGCACATGGTTGTGTTCCTTTGCTCTGCTGTTGTTAAGGTTGCTCTTAGTGAAGTGGTTGCAGAGCACGCTGCATTTTGGAACCTCTGCTCAGCATTTTGCATGCAGCCTGCACACCAGGCAAAGTGGGAGACAAGGGCTGACTGTCTACCAGACCCAGCTTGAACCTCGCTCTGCCTACCCAGACTGAGCGTGCGGCCCCTCCCATGACATTTGCTCCCCAGGGGCCCTAGTGTCCTGTTACAGGAAGTACAAATACATTTCTCTTGACTTTGTAACCGCTGTGCATTGAAGCATCTGCTCCAGTGCTGGTTGTGTAGCTTCCAGCAGTGGAAGTTCAGTTCCTTTGTTAGTGTCTGTGGGTGTTTGCTCAGTTCAGACCCCTTCAAAACAACTGACCCATGCCAGTGAGCAGCTGAGGCTCAGATCCCCACCCTGGAGGGATGCTGCCTCTGTAGGGAAGGGTAGTAAATAGGAAATAATGGTAACAGTGAGGGACAGGTAGGTACTATGAGTTAAAAGCAGCGGGTGAGAAAGAGATGAAGAGAGCCAGTGTGGCAGAGTTGGCAATGTGAATGGCAGGCGTGGTCTCCAGGGAAGATAACTGTGAGTAGATCCCGGAGGTCCAGCAGGTGTGCCAGCCATAGGGAGGACCGCCATAGGCGTGGAGGCTGCATGACGTCATAACAAGGGAGGACCACCATAGGCATGGAGGCTGCGTGACGTCATAACAGAGGTCCCTGAATCAGCCCCAGTTCTTCCCTGGAAATGCGGGAAGTCCACCCCCACAAGACCTTGGCCTCCGTGGCTCTTTCTGACCCCAAAGCTGCCCCATGACTGACAGTCTTCTATCCTCATCCTGCTGTGTGGAGGTGGGCAGGTTCTTCTCCCTGAGACATGGCAGGGTCCCTGGAACTACTCTGGTGTGGACAATACCACTGAAGTCCAGAGTGAAGGAAGGTCCAGCCCAGCACCATGGGCCTCCAGTGTGGCACAGCTGCCCCGGCCTCGAGAGCCAGACTGGACTGTTAGTGACTCATAGTGCCGGGTGGCTGCCTAGCAACCAGCACTAAGATTGGTGTCATTGCTGCTCTCAAAAGTCCTGCTGTGGGAAAGCCCTGGGTCCCAGCAAACTGGGCTTGTAAGCGCTTAAAGGCGTTTACATTTTTACAAGTTGCATTTTATGTTTATGAGTGTGTTGCCTACGTGTGTGTGTGTGTGTGTGTGTGTGTGTGTGTGTGTGTGTACTTGTGGTGCCCTAGAAACCCAGGGGAGGGCATCAGATCCCCTGAAACTGGAGTTTCAGATGTCTGTGAGCTGCCGTGTGGGTGCTGGGCATCAAACCTGTGTCCTCTGGGAGCATAAGCAGTGCTTTTAACGGCTGAGCCATCTCTCCAGCCACCAAAGGTGCATGTCAGGTGTTGAGAGTTCACAGGCAAAGTTGGCCCCATTGTTCTGTGGCCCTGGCTGTGCTTGACATTGAGAGTCATGCAGTCACTCCATTATGTGTCCTGGTTGGGATGGCTGCTGGGGGCCAGTTAGCCCAGTGGTACTCTCAATAGACTCCATGCCTCTGAAACATCTCCCTCCTATGCCAGTGGCTGGCCTTGGGACAACCTGGTGGCATGGATATTGTCTCCATGCTGTGATAGTGGCAAAGCCTGTCTAGAAGTGTACGTTCTCGTTCACATGGAGCTCAGACTCATTGCTCCTCCTGGTGGCCCAGAGCCGCAGGTGGTGGCCCAGAGCATAGGTGTCCTTCCTGGCATTCAGGAAGGCAGCAGGAGTCTTCCTGTGCTGCCCAGCATGCTGACTGCCTTTGAGGAATGTCTGTTTGTGAACAAACTGCGGGGACCCTGGTGGGCCAGATGCGGCATGAGCGTGTGGAGGGCGTGGCTTGCACTGAGTGGGTTCTTGGTAGGCGTGGAATCAGCACCACCTGAAGGGGCGGAGTCCAGTGTGAAGATGTCTGATGGACGATTGTCTAGACAGCTGTCTAGAGATTGGGCAGGGGCATCCCACTCAGGTCCTTAGTGCTTGGGAAGAAAGAAGAAGGTGCTGTTTCTTTTCTGGGGACCATGGTCATGACTTCCCAAGCTTAACTGCCCAGTGTCATAGGGTCCTCTGGCCTTGTACTTAGCTCATTGTTGTTAGATTTTAGAAGTTTATAGTGTTTTTTTAAATAAGTTTCTTTTTCAAGTTCTTATAGAATGGACTTTTTGATTAGCCTAGATAAATACACCCCAAAATTTTCAGTGCCTAAATCTAATAGCTGCTTTGGCTTGTAGTTGGAGCAATGGTCTGTCTCTGCAGGGTTTTCAAAAGCGAGTGGTGACAGCGGCCCAGAGAGCTGTCACATAGTCCACCGCCCCTAGCCTGGCCCCATGGCTGCTAAGGCACAAAAGCCAGCCTGTTCTCTGACTGCGGCAGCTTCATGCTTGTGTTACATTTCTCAGCTAATTCTGAAATCTCTGTTTGCCCAGATGAGGAGAAGAGTCGGCCTGACATTTTCCACGCACTGAAGACAGGTAAGTGCCTCAGAAGGCGACTTCAAATGTTGAAGAGGCCACACCCTCAGGCCTCACCCCTGGACCTACGGGCACAAGGAATCCGCTAAAGAAATGCAGTTTGGGGTTTTTGCTTTGTTTTTATTTTTCAGTGTTTTTTAAACTCTTGTGAAATTATAATTCACTCTCCCCAGGGAAGTGTGGGTCCCGGGCCCATATATTCATTAGAGCATTCCTCCCATCGATTCTAGAATACTCTCCCAAGTCCCTACTGCCCCACAGCTAGACGCCGAGCTGGACCCTGGCATCTCTCCGTGCTGGCCTCAGTTGTCTTGTGACAGAAGGGCCCTTCATCCCAGAGTTTCCATGTGTCACGTGCCTGCCATGGCATCAGGTGGGGGTCAGAGGTCAGCTTCTGGTGTTGCTCAAATTCCACCTTCCTTCCTTCTACCATGAGAGAGTTTTTCTTCCTGTCCTGAGTCATGTGCAGCCTGCTGGGACTCACCTACCTTCCTACGCCGAGATTACAAACACTTGTGCTACATGTGTCTGCCTTTCCTGTGAGCCAGGGATTCGAGCTCAATTCCTCATGCTTGTACGGCAAGCACTTTTTCCCACTGGTCTATCTCCCAAGCTCCAGACACCACCTCCAGGCAGCCCTCCTGGATCTCCACTCACCACCTAGAACAGTATTTTCCCTCTGCAGGCCCGTGGCCCTTCCTCGCCCTCCCTACTCCCTGAGACAGAGAAAGTACTTCCATTTGCTCATGTGCTGGCCTCCATGTGTCATAAGCAGAGGGGTCTGAGTGGGGCCTTAGTGACCCCCATGACTACAGCAGAGGGAGAGTGAGCAGGTGACCATCATGGGAGACAACCGGTTACATGAGCGTGTGACGCCAGGGCCGTGGGTCACCCGGACTCATGCTGTCTGTCCGTAGGAAACTTCCAGCTGGTCAAGGAGATTGCTGATGAAGACCCCAGCCACGTGAACCTGGTCAACGGGGACGGGGCGACCCCGCTGATGCTGGCAGCGGTCACAGGCCAGCTGGCCCTGGTGCAGCTGCTGGTGGAGAAGCACGCGGACGTGGACAAGCAGGACAGCGCGCACGGCTGGACGGCCCTCATGCAGGCCACCTACCACGGGTCAGTGTCTCCCTCCACGGGTCCCTCCACGCGAGACCAAGCCCGTGCTCTGGCTGGGGGCACGGGGGTTTCTGGCCCGAGTGTGAGCACACCGGGGCCTGCAGAAAACATGGACTCCGTTCAGCCAGCCTCCTGCCTCTGTCCGGGCCGCTTGCTAGCCTGCCACGGATTTCCCGGTGGCTGCGGAAGCCCACACAGCAGGCACATCTTAGACAGAAGGGTGCATTTCTCGTTGGCCTTCAGCTAAACAGTGCGATTGGAGTTTTCACATGGTGGTTCAGAGACCGCCATTAAGCGTCCCCTCTGTGATGTGAGCAGTGGTCACACATGCCTGGGCTTTTCATGACCTTAGATACCGGTAGTCATCTTGACCTCCTTTAAAATAACGTGGTCATCCCGGCCAGGTGGGCTGTCACCCTCCTGCAGACCTCTTTGGGGACATGTTTTAGCTGCTAGGTGTCCTGGTTCCCCTAAGGGACTTTCCTCTTGGCCTGGTTCAACCAGCCACGTAATACTCCAGCATTGACTGTGTTATCTGATGAGCCTAAAATTTCTGACTCTGCAGAACCTTCTGGAATGTCTCTGTAGGTCCTGCCTACAGAGTAGGTGTGGTGGCTGAGCGCTTTGGGGCAGAGGCCCTTGATTTTATTGTCATTAAGGAAGGCGCATTAGGACTGATACAAAGCACATTTGCCCCTGAGCTGCTGGGTGATAGGACTTGATGGGCCTGGAGAACAGTGGTGATTCCCCGGGGCCTGCTTAAACATCTGAAGACTGTGTGCCTGGTTGATGTTGCCATACTTGTTGTCTGGGAACTTGGCCACACTTTTCCTGCTGCTTGATGAATTAACTAATTTTGTGTCACTCTTAACAAAGTGCCCGAGGCAGTTAATTTCTGAGAAAAAGGTTTATTTTGGCTCATGGTTCTAGAGGTTGCTATTCAAGTTGGAGCAATCCCAAGGCTTCCAACCTCTGATGAAAGTATCACTAGCATGGGCAGGGTCTTAGTTAGGGTTTCTATTGCTGCGAAGAGACACTAACTCTTTATTTATTCATTTACTGGGTTTTTCCAGATAGGGTTTCTAGGGTTTCTCTGTGTAGTGCTGGCTGTCCTGGAACTCACTCTGTAAACCAGGTTGGCCTTGAACTCACAGAGCCTGCCTCTGCCTCCCAAGTGCTGGGATTAAAGGCATGAGCCACCACCATCTGGCCTGACCACAGCAACTCTTATCAAGGAAAACATTTAATGGGGTGACTTACAGTTCAGAGGTTCAGTCCATTGTCATCACGGTGGGACATTGTGGTGGTTCAGGCAGACACGGTGCTGGAGAAGGAGCTGAGAATTCTTGATCCAGGGCAACAGGAAGTGGTCTGAGACACTAGACATGGCTTGAGCATATATGAGACCTCAGAGCCCACCCCTGCAGGGACACACTTCCTCCAGCAAAGCCACACTCACTCCAGCAAAGCCACACCTCCTAATAGTGCCACTCCCTGTGAGCTTATGGGGGCCAATTACATTCAAACTACCACAGGGAGGGAGCAAGTGTCCAAGTGCTCAATCCAGGGAGCAAAGCCAGAGGTTCATAACCTCCTTTAGGCACATAGACAATGACCTGTAAGTCTCTATAAGGCCCCACCTCTAATGGTCCATCCACAGCACCTTCCCGTGACCACACCTTTGCATATGGGCTGTAGGGTGATCAATATCCACATGAGAATAGGGGTCTAACTGCCTGCCTCTTTGCTCCCAGAAATAAAGAAATTGTCAAGTATCTGCTAAATCAAGGGGCTGATGTTGCTCTTCGGGCCAAAAATGGCTACACGGCCTTTGACCTAGTGATGCTGCTCAACGACCCTGGTGAGTAAGCCTCCAGACAGTGCTCAGCCGCTGTGCCCCTCCTCACCCGGGAGCCAAACAGTGCCTCCCATAGCTGTGTGAAGCCTATGCTGGTGTGTAGAAAAGCCAGTGTGAGGTGTCTAGGGCACACCCCATTCCCTTGGGACACGCCCTGCTCCCCTCCTTCCAGCCACAGCCACTGTGTAGTTGCTGGGGAGGGGGCCAACAAGGGCGAGTGGCTTTGCAGGCTGTTAGGACCTAGACCCATCCTGTGGCCACAGCCAGAAATGCTAAGTGGCTTTGCGTCAGACATAAAGGGCCTTTGACAAGAGAGGAGGTGCCCGCTCTATCCCGTGTGAGGGCTGCAGGCCAGGCTCCTGCACTAACGTGTCCACCTCTCTTGCCTCCCTGGGTTCCCGTGCCCCTGCTGCTCCCCTCCATCCCCCTCCTACCCCCCCTGCCCCGGCCCTCTTCTAAGGCTTGGGGCTTCCAAATAGGGGCTGGGTCTCTGGCATGCCATTATCTCTGTTATCCTGGTGGCCCAGTCTAGGGATGGAGGAGTTCAGAGGCCTCCCAAGCCATAGGCTTTGAGCCTGAGTTGGGATCCCACCCCCAAGTTGTAGGAATGGCAGGAGCTAGTCTTCTCTTTCCACCGTGTGGGCTCAGAGCATCAGGCCTGGTAGCAGATGCTGTGCCCTCAGGACTCTACACCTTAGCCTCTTTCTTCTCCTTCTAGACAGGGTCTCATTGGGTAGCCCAGGCTAGCCTTAAACTCAGTCTCCTGACTGGGCACGTGGGCATGTTCCATGCCCATCCTTAGTGTTTGGGGGCTTTTTTATGGTTAAAAACATTTTTTGTACGTATGATTGGTTTGCTTACATGTATGTCAATGAGGCACATATATGCAGTGCCCATGAAGATCAGATAGTGCATTAAATCCCCTGGAACTAGAGCTGCAGTCTAATATGAGCTGCCAGGTGGGCACCGTGCCGGGAACTAAATCCAGGTCCTCCGCAAGAGGAATAAATGCTCTTAACTGCTGAGCCTTTTTTCCAACCCCTGGGTTTTTAAGTGAAAAGTTTGTCCACGATTTCATGCAAACACTTGTCTGTTCTCGAATGCTTAGAGAGTCGGTTGGTACTTTGTCTGTCTTTTTATTTACTGCTGCATCCTGGAGGGCATTGGGGAGAGTGGGCAGGCAGAAGAGTGGCAGGTGAGTCCAGGTGGTCCCCAGCACAGGACCTCCTCCTGGGGGATGGACCCGAGCTTCCCCTACTGCACGGGGCTGCACCTCTAGCCCAGGAGCCCTGGGCGTTTTCCTTACCTTCTTGTCCAACAAGTGCATTTACACTTTTTGTTTGTTTGTTTTTTGAGACAGGGTTTTATTGCTTTGGAGCCTGTCCTGGAACTCACTCTGCAGACCAGGCTGGCCTCGAACTCACAGAGATCTGCCTGCCTCTGCCTCCTAAGTGCTGGGATTAAAGACTTGTGTCATTAATGCCCGGCTGCATTTAACTTTTTTATTTGTGTTTATCTTATGCTGGTTTTGTTTTGTTTCTTTTAGTGCCCAAGATTTTGTTCTGCAGCTTCCCCTGAGACATGGTTTGCTTCTGTGCAGCCTCCTCTGGAGGGACGTTGTATTCGTTTTCAGTGAGGTTGTCTCAGGGAGGCAGGGAGTTTGCCTGTGGGTTAAAATAGCCATGAACGCTTAAGTTTGATGGTGCGTCTTTTTTGTTAGTTTAATTAACATTTTTCATTTATTTTACATACCGACCACAGCCCCCCCATCTACCCCACCCCCATGGCTTGCACAGAGCAGGGTACATCAAGCTGAGGTAGGACTGAGCTCCCCCCACCACCCCCTTCTATCAAGGCTGAGGCAGGACTGAGCTCCCCCCCCCACCCCCCCCCCCTTCTATCAAGGCTGAGGTAATCCAGCACAGGGAGCAGGCTCCCAAAAGCCAGCTGAGCGCCAGGGACAGGTCCTGATCTCACTGCTAGGAGCCTTACAGGCAGACCAAGCTACACAACTGTCAGACACATGCAGAGGGCCTAGGTGGGTCCCATGCAGGAGCTCAGGTCGCCTGTCTCTGAGGGCTCCTTCCCCTGACAGTGCGTCTGAAGTTTAACTGTGCATCTTAGGGTGCTGGGCTCAGCTGATAAATGTTCAGTGACCGGAGAACCTCACCGAAGTCTAAGTTCAGCATTTCTAAGTGTGTGCAGGAAACATGGAGCACTGTTTTGGGGGCCTCTGATGCAGTGCCCAGCCTTACTGTTTGGCCAGGGCTCTCCCGTTATACTGCTGGCACACACTGATTCTTTAAGTCACTTTGTAGATATGCATTCCTCTGATGGTCTGGGCGGTTTCACAGGTGTCCTTAAAGTGAATGTGAAGATTTGAATCTCTTGACTTGCGTGGTTTTGTAGGGTTTTCTGTGTCAAGAGAATAGTGAGCCATTTTCATAGGCACTTGCAGGAAGTGCTAGTGTGATTTAAAATCCTCTTAAGTGCATTCCGAGTCCCAGCACCTTGAGCTCCCAAGGAATTCCCTTGAAATCCCCAAGACATGTTTATATGCTGGGGGTTAATGCCACCTCCGTGTGAACCACACAGAGAGACTGTGTAATTTACCCACCGTCACCCAGGGTAGGATGGAGACAGAACAGGGACTGCTGTAGTCTGGCTGAGATCCTGGGCTTTTCAGTGCTCACTCTCCTGACTTCTGGGACGGAGGGGGTCTCTGAGCACAGCAAACGAGGAAGCTGAGCTGGGCACTCATGGGTTATGGCCGGCCACCCTGGTGTTGCAGCACTGAGTTCTGAGTCTGAGAAGGGCTGGTGTGGGCCCTTCCCCCCGGGTCAGGAAGATGCATTCTCAGGTCACGTGCTGTCTCTGGTACCCACAGACACTGAGCTCGTGCGACTGCTGGCGTCCGTGTGCATGCAGGTGAATAAGGACCGAGGCCGGCCCAGCCCCCGGCCGCCCCTGCCCCACTCGAAGGCCCGGCAACCCTGGAGCATCCCCGTGCTGCCTGACGACAAGGGAGGACTGAAGGTTGGCCTTCCTCTTGGAGAGCGAGGGAAGGGTGCAGCCTGCAGTGTGGTCTCTAAAGGCTGATTGGCGGCACCCGCCTGGAACCGAGGAAGGGGGAAGCTGTATGGCATAGGACCCTCGTCCCTGGGCCTGTCCTTTTGTGCCTAACGCTGACTTCTGTCTCTTCCCTCCCCCATAGTCCTGGTGGAGCCGGATGTCCAACAGGTTCCGAAAGCTGAAACTTATGCAGACACTGCCACGAGGGCTGGCTGCCAATCAGCCTTTGCCTTTCTCCGAGGAGCCTGAGCTGGCACTGGACTCCACCATGCGGGCGCCTCCCCAGGACAGGACAGGCCGCCTTGGACTTCCGGAAGTAGCCCATGCAGCCAAAGACAGCGGTGAGAAGGGCTGCATGTGGGTTAGTTTCCAGCAGAGGCACTGAGGCCCAGGTCCCCCACCCCCACCCCGAGCTACTGGGCATGAGACACAGGAGCAGTGGCTGGTCTGTCAGACGCTAGAGGTAGGCAGATGCCATCCAACTGTCTGTCAGACGCTAGAGGTAGGCAGACGCGGTGCAACTGTCAGAGAGTGGGCAGCAGACACCAGCGCAGGAGCCCGTGTTCCCGTGTTTCCATGTTCCCGTGTTCCGTTTTCGCTCCCCGCTAAGGGACCGCAGGCCGGGCACTGCCTCCCTTGCCTTTGGAGCTTGGCGTCTACACAGTCCAGTGCGATTGGCTTGTGGTAGTAACGTGTCTGCAAATCCGGTGAGCCCCTGCAGTGAGGTAGTGACACCACCAGGGACATGCAACAGACTGCACAACCTCTGCAGGTTGCGGAAGGAGATTTCCACACTGGAAGGAAAATGGTTGGATAAGATCCCTCCGGCAGTCGGATAAGATTCCACCCTGGATCGACCCCTTTGGCACCGCTGTTAGAGACAGACCATGGAGTGGGCACGACCACTTTTTGACCCAGCACAGCAGCGGCTTCTGGAGAGGCTGAAAACATGCTCTCTGAGATGACTTTAAATGCCTTCCATCTATTAGGATATTGAACACCAATTGTTATTAAATATTTAAGTCCCCGGGAGAGCTGTTTTTCCAGGATGTGGGGCCCCAGCGCCATTCTGCAGACTATGGTCACAGGGAGGGGCATTTCAGGAAGCTTCTGTTTGTTTTGCAGGTCCTGGGAGCTCAAGAAGAGATAAGGAAGACGCATTACTGACAACCATGGTGAGTGGGGTACCTAGCAGCATTTAAGGCAAGAGAGGCTGTGCCTGGCGGTCCCTTAGCGGGGAGCGAAGACGGAACTCTGGCTCCTGCGCTGGTGTCTGCTGCCCACGCTATTACGTGCGGCACGTGACCGCCGGTCCCTGCCTGGTTGATACTGAGAAGGAGGGGCGTGAGCGCTGGCCTCGGTGTGTGGTCACCACAGGTAGATGGGTGATCAGAATGGGCACCGGTGGATGAGGCGGTGACCGCTAGGGGTCAGAGCAGATGCCAGCCCTGACCTATGAACTTGGGGCCGCATACAACTGAAGGCAGCCCCACACTTGCCTTGTGGTGACTTAACTTCGGATCTGCCCATTCCTGTCTCCTGAGTTCTGGGGTTAATGGAATCAGTCCATCATGCCAGGTTACACGGTACCTGGGCCTTGTGTATGCTGGGGAAACACACCCCCAGATCATGGTGCCAAATCTAAGTCTTGGCCATGTGGTAGGAACTAGAGGGGACAGATGGATGCCAGTGTTAGGCCATCCGGCCATTCTGTTACATAGGAGATGTTTCTAGTCCAGGAGAGGCCTCAGTTTCCTGATCTGTAAGCTTTAGAATGAGGCTAAGCTAAGAGTTCGAACAGTCCCTGAGGTGATAGCGGTACACTAAGACAGTTTATTCCGTGGAGTTGGGACCGAGATTCCTCTACTTTCGCTTCCCCACGCATGACTGATCATCTGTTACCAAGGCTACCTCACAGTCCAAGAGGGCTGCCAGAGCTCCGGCCATTACGGCCTGTGTTAGACTCTCCACTGCTAAGACAGACTCAAAAGTGCAACTTAGAAGGAAGAGCGATTTCCAAGGGCCCTTGACGGTTTCCGTCTGTGATCTCTTAGCTCTGTGGTGACTCTGATCATGGTAAAGGAAAGCCATTGAGTTCGTGTAGTGAGGAAGAGGGAGTGGATCCCACGTGTCACTTCTGCTCATGGCAGCGGGGTCACAGCGTGGTCACGTGGTGGGCACAGCGCACCGTGCAGGAGTCTGTCCAGGTGGTCAGGAATGTCATTGCTGCAGAGGTGTGGAAGCTAGATCCCCACAGAACCTAGGGTGATTGTCACCATAGTGGTAGCTGTTGAATGAGATCCCCCAGAAGGCTCAGCCGAGTGCTTGGCTCAGAATAAGCTCTGCGTGACCTTGACGGTGTTATATCTCACCCCTCTCCACATAATGTTCTCTGGCCCGAAAAGTCCTGTGGTTAGAGCACATTGGGGCCAACATCCCAATTCTGGCCAGCAGGGGGCAGTATTGTCAAGGACAGGTGGTGAGCCTGAGCCACTGGCCTGTGAAGCCACAGAGCAGAGTGGTCCCGGCCCTTGTCCACACTTTGCCTGGCCAACGGCGTAATTGACGACCCTCAGGATTATCAAGATCTCACATCCAGAGGGAGTCACGGTGGCCCTTTTCTGGTTTCCATCCTTTGTGTGTTTTTCCTAGGCCTTTTTGGCTTTCAGGATTGTGGAATCACGTTATACTGATAACAGCACACACCTCAGCAATCCTGAGTGTTCAGCCTGCACAGCCTTCCAGGCAGGACCACGGGAGACCACGCTATTCCAATCTCCCCATAGTGAGTTGGGCCTGATTTATTAACAATTTACCATGATCTTTTCCATGCCATTAAAGCCTTGCTTAGCCACATCATGTTGAATAGCCGTGTGACAGGACCTTCCATCACAGAATGACTTCACCCAGGATGGATGCGGGGAGTTGGGGGGGGGGGTCTATAGCTCTTTGTAATCTTAATGGCTCTGCTGAGGATCTGCATTCTGCAATCTCCTCCCTAGTTACTCCTCAGGCAAAGAATGCCAAAGTCATTGGCTCCCAGAAGGGTGGCAGCAGCTTCACCCAAGGAGGACCCAGCTGTGGTGGGTTGGCTGCCCTCGAGTAGAGGAAGCTTGTCCCTTCCAGAGAGGGCGACACCCATTCACTGACAGGCAGAGAAACCGCGTAGCCCATGAGGGAACCCTTGGCTGGGGGTGGGGGGGGGGGTTGGGGGCTGCCTCCAGCTCTGGTTCTCTTCCATTCCACTGCTTGCAAGCAGCAGAGGGCACCAGTGTGCCCACTTGGTGGCCATGGTGGTGACTGCTGGTCCATGACTCTTGGTCTCAGGGTGGACGTTTGTAGCCATTGGTGCAAAGATGCCCGCCCGCCCGCCCGCCCACCCCACGGGCAGAGTTAGCCGTGGGATGTCGGTCCCCACAGAGGACCATCTGGCACTATGTTCAGTCTTTTCTTAATTACCACGAATGTGGAGATGGGAATGCCGCCGCAGACATCCAGCAGTCAGGGCTGTGTGGGTTTTATACCCACCCCAGAGATTCACTGTAAAACTAAGTCGCGGTTGAAAAACTGTCAGTGATGGAAGCGTGGTGCAGGGTGTGGCAGGGGTGTGGCGAGGTGTGGCTGGGGTATGGCGGGTGTGGCTGGGCTTGGAGCCCCCAGCCTCTGCCCCTTATGCCTTCAGCCCAGCACGGCACAGGTAGCTCTGCACCGTCCTCCTCACGTACCCTGGGCTGCAGGCTTGCCTTCCCATCTTGAGTCTGGGCTGTCCTTTGCCCCAGCTGCCTGCCCTGTCCCCTGGGCTCAGTTCTCTGCCACAGCAGCCTGGTCCCCACCCGTTTCTCACTCTGTCGTCTCTCCGTCTCTGGTTTCCATCCTGCCCGTGCCCTCATCGTGTCACACTGGTTCCTGGGAGCCTGCGGTGCTGTCTGGGCTCCTGTTTCCAGTGGAGAAGCGAGCAGGGGTGCCATCATCCACAGTCCTGGAACACTGGATCCTTCCCCAGTGCGGAAGCTTCCAGGGCCCATCTAATCCTGGCCTGTCTCTTTCAGCTGCGGAATGGAGCTCCCTTCCCCCGGCTTCCCAGCGACAAGCTGAAGGCCGTCATCCCGCCCTTCCTGCCCCCGTCCAGCTTTGAGCTGTGGAGCTCTGACAGGTCCCGCACGTGTCACAACGGGAAGGCAGACCCCACCAAGACTGTGCTGCCCCCAAGATCCAGCAGGGCCCACCCCGTGGGCTGCGTGGGCACAGACACCGTAAGTCATCTCCTTGCTGCCTGTGACACTGTGTGGCAGCAGAGGGAACCTCAGACACTAGGACCCCAGGTCACGGCTGCTCTGGTCTTAGTAGGGAGCCGTGCCCCTTAGCCTAAGGAACCCCTACCAAAGAACCGAGCTTGCGGAAGGCTAAAGTGTTGCCAGGGTGGGCCTCCTCTCTGGGGAGCACGCGTCCAGGATGGGCGCCAGCTTGCCAACCTCTCTTTCGGGTGGTGAGGGAAGTGACTTGGGAAATGACTCTCTGACTATCACTGGCCTGGTGGGGGTGGGGGTGGGCCAAAAATCAGTTCGTGGCTTCTAATGGGCTCTGTAACGTAGCTTGGACTGTGACCAAGACCACATGCTAGGGGAGGAGCACATTTTGTGGGAGGAGACCCCGCCCCTTGGCCACAGTTGCCCCGCCCCTTGGCCACAGGTGTCCCTACCTGGAGCCTGAGCTGCCCACCATGGCCCCTGTCAACACGGCCGGTAGTCTTTGGGTGTGTAGACTGTCTACACTGTGGTTGCAGTAAGTGGGTAAATTGTAGATGAGGAATCAGGACAGGCCCTGGTGCTTTGGTGACCGCGTGACTGCATATACCTGGGGCTTCTAGTGTGTCTGTGTGACAGACAAAACTGTCCCAGGGCTGCTCACTCTCAGGTCCTAGTGGAGACAGGGATGCTGGGTGTGTGGAATGGGGTAGGACTGTCAGCCAGAGCATCCCCTAAGAACTCTTCTCGTAGCTACGCTTTCTGGAAAACATCACTAAGCCTGGGGCCTGGATGTAAGATGCTTCATCCCCTCTGCAAGTATTCGCTGGCCTCTTTCTCCATGGGGCACAGAACACTGGGTGCCCAGAAGACGAGTATATGTTCTGGGAGCTGGGTGGGCAGCCAGGAAGGCCTCCAGGAGCAGCCAGCAGAGGGAGGGCGCTGGTGTGAGGCCTCGCTGCTCTGGTCACCTTAGGCTGTGAGAAGAGGTCTTAGGGGATGTTCTGACAGACAGCCCCACCTCATGTCACGCACTGAGTGCTGCAGCCTGTGTGGGTGGGGCTGCTCCCCTGCTGAGGCTGATGGTTGGGGGAGGGGCACCAGCCCAGTGCCATAATACTTCAGTGAACTCTTCTGGGCATACCCTGGCTTGTGGTTGCCTCTCTTCAGTCCCTGTCCCTGCCTCTGCCAACTTCTGTCAGAGCCCCCTGTGTCACAAGGAGGCTGAGATTGTACTTAGTTAGGGAGCATCGAAGTGGCCCAGGCAAGTTCCTGCTCTGCTCTGTTTTGATTTTGTTTATTCTATGTTTATGAGAGTTCCACCTGCATGGGACATTCACAGTGTTTGCAGAGGCCGCAGGAGAGCGTCAGATCCTCTGGAGCTAGAATTGCAGACTGTGGTGAGCCGCCATGTGGGTGCTAGGAGCCAAAGCTGTGGGTTCCCTGAGAGCAGTCGGTACTCCTAATCTTTGAGCTGCCTCTCCATCCCCATGTCCCTGCCGGCACACCTTCCACAAGTACCTCTGAGGTGGTGGCCCTTGGCAGTTAGCATTCACGCCTTCTAGAGACGAGGATGCTTGCCTGCCTTCTGGGGGGCCACCATGCAGCCCACGGGAGCCTCTGCTGCTTCTCAGTGATTCCGGCAGCCCGACCAGGACTGAGCGCAGGCCATGGAGAGATGGGCAGGTGTGAGTGGCCAGCGGGCCGCTGTTCAACACTGGGTTAGAGTAAGCTTGCACCCACCGTTGCTCCTGGGTGGCCTGCTGTGGCTCAGCCTGAGCTGATGGGTTGTTAGCAGGTAGGAGCAAGCTCTTGCCTGTGGGGGAGGGACCCCGTAGCACAGCGTGCCCGTTGCTGCGGTATTGTGTGCAAGCGGGGAGGAAGACCCGGTTCTGACTGGTTCCACCTTGCATTTGCAGGCTGCTGGCAGGCCGGTGAAGTTCCCCAGCATCTCCCGGAGCCCAGCCTCCCCTGCCAGCTCTGGGAGCTTCAACCACTCACCTCATTCCTCAGGAGGTGCCAGTGGTGTTGGGGGCATGAGCAGGCTGGGTGGGGAGCTGCATAACCGCTCAGGTGAGTAGCCACGGGCCACTCAGGGATGGGATGGTCCCTGGCCAGGGTGCCAACTGGCCCTGAGCTCCATCTACATTCAGTACCACAAATGGCTGTGCTCCAGCCCGCTTCTGGGTGTGGCTAGAAAATTCTCCATGAAGTAACAATTCAGGTTGTTTCCACTCATTGTCCCAAGATGGAGCCAGACGAGAATGAAGAAGTCAAGTCCATAATGTTTTTCTTATTTCGTGTAAAGGGTTGTAACAAATGGAGAAAAATGCCAAGCGTTTTCATGGTGCACCAATTTCTTGAAGGGTAAGCCTGGGGAACTTCTATCCTGCCGTCCATTGAACGGACAAGGATGCCAAGGCTCCGAGTGGCAAAGAGGCATGCCCAGACTTACCCAGCAAGCTGGAGGCAGGGAAATGTCAAAGCAGAGACCCCTCAGTTCTAAGCCACAGCAGACCCCCAGTCCTCCGAAGATCTTGAGGACTAGCCAAAGCCAGCTCTTTGACGGGGACACACCGGCGTGGCATGCCGCTGCATAAGGCGTGCGTGCATCTGGAAAAACAAACAAACAACCTGAAGTGCAGATGAACCAGAAGATAAAAAAGGAGGGGAGGAGCATCAGCCCCCCCCAGGGGCTCACCCATCACCAGCATGTTGCTGTAACTTTGCAGTGTTTTACTTTGTGCATATTATGACTATTTATCGTCAGAATGGTTTACTGAACACTGTGCCGGGCGCGATGCTGAGTCATTTAAATGGTCCCTGAACAATCCCCTTATGTTGTCTTCTGCATGCTACAGGTGAGGGGTAAGGGAGCCGGGGTTCAGAGACTCGCCTGAGGTCATATACCTCTGACCCCTGATGCTGAGTCATTTAAATGGTCCCTGAACAATCCCCTTATGTTGTCTTCTGCATGCTACAGGTGAGGGGTGAGGGAGCCGGGGTTCAGAGACTCACCTGAGGTCATATACCTCTGATCCCTGAACCCAGGCAGCTGCTGCAGACCCCTGAGAGGGGGTGTGGGTGTTGGGGGTGTTTCAGGTGGATATGCACATGTCTGAGGCTGCCCATCAGTCCTGTCCACCATGCATGCAGACGTGCTTGGTGTGGCCAAGTGAGCTCTGTCCTGCACTGTTGCTCACGCAGGCAATGCCTCATCATTTTGTGATGTGACTTTGTGTATGTGTGCCTGTGCCACAGCCTGAGAGTGAGGTCAGAGGGCAGTTTACAGGGATCAGCTCTCTGCTTCCAGCCCGAGGGTCCTGGGGATTTCCCTCAGGTGTGTAGGCTTGGCGGCTGCCTCTGCTGGCCCCCAGGTGATCCTTTCCGGCCTGCTCAGTGATCTCTGGAGCCTGAGCTCCGTGGCTGAGCCACCGTTTGCCTTCTACAGAAGCTAATGTAGATTGTCGTCAGCGAGCTCTCTACCATTTTGTTATAACCCACGCTCTTCACTTCTTACTGCGAGGTTGTCCATCACTAAGCTGCTCAGTCCCCCTGCCTCAGTCTTCCCCAGTCGCTTGGGCTCCAGGCCCACAACCTAGACGCAGCTACCCAGCATGCCCTGTCTTCCCGTCCCACGTAAGCGCTGGCAGGTGCGCCCGGCAAGGAGCAACCAGCATTGCTCCATGAACACCTGTTGCCAGTGGCTTCCTGGGAACAGCCCCAGAAAGTGACTGTCCATGTGTGTGTGTGTCCGTGTCCGTGTGTGTGTGTGTGTGTGTGTGTGTGTGTGTGTGTGTGTGTGTGCATGTGTCCGTTCCAACTCCTCTCCAGGCTGTGGTACATCCAGAGAGGCTGAGAGGGAAAATGGCAGTTAGGATGCAGTTAGAAGCAGGGTACTTAGAGTCCTGTGGGGTTAGGGATTTCTACATGCTGGCCCTGGGAGGAGCAAAGGCCCTTACTCCCCCCCCGCTTCTCACCACGACGCTTAACCCCCCCTCAGCCCCTGAGAGCCCTCACGGGGAACTCTTATCAGCCTGAGCCTTGAGACAGCTCACAGTTCACCATGGGGCGGGAAGGACTCTTGCCACGGTGCTCACTCCTGTCTCTGTCTCCTCAGGTGGCAGTGTAGACAGTGTCCTGTCCCAGATCGCTGCTCAGAGGAAAAAAGCAGCTGGCTTGTCTGAGCAGAAGCCCAGCCAGCGCTCCAGTCCTGTGGGGCCAGCCCCCGGCTCCAGCCCGCCTGAGCGTCCAGCCTCCCTCGTGGGCAGCGGAGGGGACTCTTCCAGCAGCAAGGTGCTTGTCCTCTGGCCGCCTGTGCCACCTGCAGATTGTTCTCCCGTGACCGCATGTGGGACCAGGGTGTCAGGTTGGAGGGAGCCTCAGTGGGACGGCAGCCGTGGCCTCTCCTGAGTTTCTGGCAGAGGTCTGCATCTGCCCCTGCAGGCCCGTGTGCACCCTGCCTCCTCCGCCCAGGGCCAGGGCGTGGGGGACGCCGAAAGGGACCCATTGCACACTTGAGTGTGTCCATTGAGTTCCATCTTGCACACTCGGTTCACTGTTGAGAGCAGAGGGTTAGCAGGGCTGGGGCAGCCTGCTTGACTGAACCTCTGCTCACTGAGCTACACTGCCAGCTCTTAGGTTTGCATCTCAACAGAAGTGAGAGAAATAGTGTTTCTGCCCAGCTGTCACTGGCGCCACAACTCTGTTATCCCAACTCTTTCACAGAGAAACCTCATAATTTAAACTCCTTTTATAATTTAGTTAAGTTTCTCCCTAACACATGAACTAAATTTCTGTTATGTTCAGAATTATTTTTACAAAGGATGGTATAGTTAAGTTTATTTTAGAGTTCAGCTGTAGACAAAACAGTTCTTCCTGATATTTTGATGCATATTCTTTAGCAGATACAAAAAGTTATATAATTACTGTATTTGTTTTTTTCCATTTTCTACTTGGCTACTCACAGCTACTCACTAAAATAAGTCTACTAGCTGAGGGCTTTTGAAAGTTTTCTCCTTTGTTGTCTAAAATAGTCTCCTCTACTCTGATGGTCTTATTAACTGTGTTAAATATCATTTAGCTTTTTGTCATTTTGTTATTAACTGTTACCTCATTTGGCCATATCTGTCAACTATAACAACATACAACATACAACATGCACATACTCGGATGAAAATAAATTAGCTGTCAAAAGATGCACCCCAGGACAGTCATCGGGAGAATGAGCCAGTTCCGAGGTCTCCTGATGCTTGGTGTCATAACGACTCCCCGCCCTACCCTACTGCTCTTGACTCTCAGGATGGGGTCTGGGAGTCTGTTTCTGCCTCCTGACAGTCCGTTTCCACCAGGGCTCTTAGAAACCACTGCCCAGTAAGAGGAACAGAAATGGTCTCTCTGTTGTGGGCTCTAGTGGTAAGTGAAGGGAGGAAGTGCTTTTCAACAGCTCCCTTAGGAAGAATAGAAATTAGTCTTCAAGGCCGGAGCCCCTGGGTCTGGATTTTGCCCTCTGTCTTAAAGCAGGAGGCTCAAGGCTCTGGTGAGGTATGCGTGGGACTGGTTTCTGGCTCATTCACCAGTCGTGGAAACCTGAATCATTGGGGAGGCAGAATGGGTGTGTGGGGACAGGGAGGCCACCCCTGCGTCTGTGTAGGAGGTGTCAGCTGCCCCCTCCACCATAAAGCCAAGGGTCACACTTGGAGCACTGGTGACCGGTCACAGCTGAATCTGGGCATCGTTCCTGACCCATTATTAGAACATTTTTGGTTTTGGGGTTTTGTTTTGTTTTTCTGTCATTTGAGGGTTTTCTAGGAATCTTCCTATTACCGATGCATAGCTTGACTCCACTATAGTTCTGTTCCCCTCCTGTAAGTGTGCAAGATCTGTTTTATGCCCTGGAGTGTGATCTGTTTTGGTGAGAGTACCATACCACTTAAGGAAAATGGGTATCCTCTTGCTGACTCTGGGAAGGGCGACTCTTCCCAGAGTCACTGGTGTTGCTGACTGGTGGCGTGGTCCATGTCTTCTACATCTTGATTCCCAACTCCATCAGTTTCCCAGAGTGGTAGCATCTGTAATTGTATAACATGGGGGTAAGTTATTTCTCTTTTCAGGTCTGTCATTTTCTGCCTCACTTACTTTAAAGTTCTACACGCATTTGGGACTGTTTTGGTTTTTGTTTGTCTTTTGAGGCAGGAACTCACTATGCACACCAGGCTAACCTCAAACTCACAGAGATTCTCCTGCCTCTGCCTCCCCAGTGCTAGCATTAAAGATGTGCACCACCATGCTCAGTGACCCCTGCAGTATGATGCAGTGTCTCTCTGTCCCCTAAGATTGGGACAAGGTGAATTTGTGTGACACCGCAGAAAGAGTGTAGCATCAGTAGTCCTCATCAATTGTGAAATCTTCCACACAGCCAAACCCAGTGGTGGACAAAAGGAAACCCTTCCAGCTAATTGGGGTTCGTTGTGCAAGTTGGGCTCAGCGTTAGAGTCGGAGACTGTGACACAGCATCTAACGGATGGGAGAGGAAATCTAGAAAAGCATTTAACAGCACTCAGAACCCAGGGGCTGGAGAGA